CTAGCCAATTAGGGGTATAACAATAACTCCTGGGAGATCTAAGTTTAGCTTAGGGAAACAAAGCAATCTGTTTTATTTTATCTCATGATCTGTTTCATATAGAAAAGACATTATGAGTCAATTTCCAATAGTACACTTTAACAGCTCCTGAACACACTAACTTGTACTGGCTTTTAACCACACTACAACTCTCCTTTCTCCCACTCTCCTTTCCCTTTTATCTGCTGCACAGGTAATAGTAAGTTACTGCACTCACTATATTCTTCCAATATATCTAAACTCTAGCGTAACAGAAATATAATATTCCAAGTTATATCTACCACATGAAAGGTAATTTTTTCATGTGTATAAGATTATTTATATCATACACACATTATTTATATATCACACATATGTATCACACATTTATACATCAAACATATATATACACATGTGCACATGTGTACATATATACCTGTACAGGCTTATATATGTATACACATAACGTTCATATATACATACACAAACAGATAATATTAATCACTAGCTTTTAAAAAGCTTTTACATTTTAGAATGGTGACCCTAAAATAGTGCACAAAGAAAAATAACTGAACCAGATGATGTCTAGAGATTCTTATTTACAGATTAAGATAAATTATCTAATAGCTAACACTAATGCCAATGAGCTAACAAGAGGCAATTTAACAGATGAGGAGATGCTAACTGTAGCAAGGAGGATAAATGTAGAAGCTGGGAGACAAATGAGAGGATGTCACCACATGCACACAACTGAAGCTGATTTTTTCCCCCATAACAATGAAATGATATCCCAAAATTTTGCAGTGCAAATGGCAACTAAAATAACACCTATCAGAATCAATGAATCATTATTTTCAAGTTTAAAAAAAAGCAGAATGAAAAGTATAAGAACTCCTGTCTTCCAAACAGCTATATTTTAAAGTATTATAAGCTTAAATACAGCATATTTAAAATTGTACAATGTTTAATTTATTGAGCTGTATTTAATCAGAAACAAACTTTCAATTTAGCTTTAGAACTGTTAGAAATTCATTTGGCTCCATTTTTCTCACTGAGTTCACAGAGATATCTCTGTGATGTACATTCTGGATTATCTGCTGGTGCCTAGATCATTCTCTCCTGCTCAACAAAAACCAGGACCATTATTATTAGGAGGAAGTATTAGTTACTACTATTAAATTGAGAATAATGACTTAGTCAGATACTTATATTTAGGGATAAACAGAAAGAACAAAAGTTTTGTCCAATATGGTGGGGAAATGTGGCATTAAAGAGGTTTGAAATGGTACTGAAGTAAAACAGAGCTTTGACAGGAATGAAGCCACAAACATACTGGGCCTTGTTAGCTGTGAAGCCATTGGAGGGTTTCAATTAAGGAGTAATTCAACAGCATTACTCTGGTTGCTGTGTTGAGAACACATTGATTACTTGGCAGATTACTGCAATAATACAAGAGAGAGATGAGGGTTGTGCATGAGAGAAAGTGATTTCAGATAGGCAGAGTCAAGAGCATTTGCTGACACATTAGATGTGTGTATGAAGACAAAGAGAAGTCAAAGAATGCCTTTAGGTTTATTGCATAAAGAACTGGAAGCAAAAGTTGCCATTTCTGAAATGAGTAAAAATAATCAAAAGAATAGATTTTTAGGGAGTATGAGAAGTTTATCTCAGATGTGTTAGGTTTGATGTGCTTATTAACCTTCCTAGCAGAGGTGTCAAGTAGGCAGTTAGATATGAATGCAGACTTCAGGGGAGGCATAGGGGTTAGATATATAAATCAGACAGCCCTCAGCATAGTGAACAGTATTTTAATCATGAGATGAGATGTTCTCCAAGAGTAAGTAGTGCTAGAAAGACAGGCAACTAAGAACTGAGCCCTGGGGCACTCCAAAGTTTAGAGGTTAGAGGGAAGTTAAAGATCAAACGAAGAAGACAAAAGAATTTGCCAGAAACACAGGAGGAAAATCCCATCATGCACTTTCTAGAACCCAAGTGAAGAAAGTATTGCAAAAGAAAGGGAGGGAGTGAACATGTTGAATAATAATGTTAAGTCTAGCAGGATGAGGACTGATCTACACAGTAGATTTAATCACAGTGTGATGATAGGGGTGAAAGCCTAGTTAGCTTTGTGAATTCAAGAGAGAGCAGAAGGAGTTACTGAAATACCAAGATTAGACAAATTCCTTCAAAGAATTTTACGAAAAAGAAAAAAAAAAGGACAGATTTAAGAGTAGATTCAAAAAAAGATATTTTAAATATGGAAGAATTAATAGCAGGTTTTTGGTTAACAAAGAGCCACAATGGAGACCCATCCCCACCTCTCCCCACAACAAAAAAAAGGCAATAAGGAAAATGGAGAACTGCTAGAAGCAGTATCCTTGAGAAGAAGATGGAATGTAGTGCACGGATGGAGAAGCTAGCCTTTGTAAGTTAACATTGGCAGTTTATTCATAGTAACAAAAACCCAAAATTGCAATAGATTCAGCTGAGTTGGTGTTTATCAGGAGCACGTGGAAGATTTTTTCTTTGCTATTTCTTCCGTAACCTAGAAAACAAAACTATCATTGGATAGGATGGAAAGGGATGAAGTGAAGGTTTGATGAGAGAGATTTTAAAATGGTCACCTAGGAGAGTGGGAGAATATGGACCCAGGGACACCGTGTATGACTGCCCGGCAGTACAATGGGCCCACTTCCAGTTAATGACCATTCTGCAATTATCTTTTGGGCTAGTCAGAGATATTATTATTACTCCCTTTTCTAAATCACTCATAAGAGTAGAGCAAGGAGTAAAATTATATTCCTTTGAGCACCACTTCCTAGGAATTGATGATCATCTTCTTTCAGGGAAGTGTCCATTTAACCTTATTTTTCTTATCTTTGTCTTCCTTGTTCTGTTTAAAAATATAAGGGACATTTTTTTTTAATCGAACTATTCTGAAAAACCAAATTATCAAATATGACAGTCACATAATGAAATTGAAAATGAACTTGTTCAAAAAATTAATTTGTTACCAAGTGAAACTTAGCAAAGATAACAATGCTTCATTGTAATAAGGAAAAGATCAGGAAAAGAGCTGGGGTACCAAGAATGGACCGTGTCTTAATGCACATTTTATCTCTAATGCCTAGTGAAGCACCTGGTAATAAGGAGAGGGCAAATAAATGATGAAATCTACAACAACAACAAAATATAAAGGCATTAAGAAGACTGAAAGTAGGATAGGAAAGCATGAAAGTGACTGAGAAAGGCTTGGGTTCACTGAAAGATATGAGTCAGTGGGGTAAAGTGTTCAAAGTGATATTCTCTCAAGAGTTTTTTTTTTTTTTTTAAAGATTTTATTTATTTATTTCACAGAGAGAGATCACAAGTAGGCAGAGAGGCAGGCAGAGAGAGAGGAGGAAGCAGGCTCCCCGACAAGCAGAGAGCCCGATGCGGGACTCGATCCCAGGACCCTGAGATCATGACCTGAGCCGAAGGCAGAGGCTCAACCCACTGAGCCACCCAGGCGCCCCCTCAAGAGTTTCTTTTTGAAAAATACTTCCTACCACTCACATATCTCTGAAATCAATAGTTTAGGATGCACAAGAAGAAAACAAAGATAAAATTTTTAGTGCATTATAAAGACAAATATTAAAAACTTTAGGGACAGTTGGGTGGCCCAGCCAGTTAAGCATCTGTCTTCAGCTTAGGTCATGATCCTGGGGTCCTGGGATGAAAGAACGATGTTGGTAATCCCTGCTCAGCAAGGGGTCTGCTTCTCTCTCTCCCTCTGCCTCTCCCCCTGCTCATGTTCTCATGCTCTCTCTCTCTCAAATAAATAAAATCTTAAAAAAAAAAAGAAAAAAGGTAAAAAGCTCCCTTATGTTCTTTCTTTCTCTTTTCCTAAACTCTAAGTAGACAGAAATGAAAAAACAAAGCAACAAAGCACAATTTTTGTTTCTATGCATCTATGAAAAAGGTAATATATATCTCGAACACTGGATAGAAATAAAAACAATACATATCAATGAATGGCTTCTCTTAATTATTTGAAAGCAAGTAAATGTAGGGAAAAGTGAAAGACACATGAAAACCATTTTTTCAACAATCACTCCATAAAATATTAACTAACCTATGTTAAATGAATCTTTTTTTCTAGCACAACTTTAAGAATATTGAAGATCACACTGACATAAGATTTAACTTTTCAAATTAATGACTAGTTTGATCATATATCTTCATATTTCATCTTGGAATTCTCTAATCTAAAAATGGCTGGAATTTTCATTGCTTTCACAATTGTCTTCAGCTACGCTGGCCTTATGGTTGAACTTGGATTACCAGCTGTTTTACCTCTGGTTTCTCTTGCCCTGACACCAAATCTCAAACATCCTGAACTACTCACAGTTCTCTGAATATAATTTGCTCCTTTCAATCCTCTCTGCTGTTTTTCTCAGTCAAAAATGCTCTTATATTACCCAAAAACACATATTTTACGCCTTGCATTAAACACTGATTTCTTTGGAAGGTGTCCTAGCAGGCTACACATTTGACTATTTAGTTTCTATCATACTGCACTATCATACAATTATTTAATTGTATGTATTCTCCAAAAGTTCATGAACCCCTCTAAGGCAGACACCAGAGATTTTATTATATTTATATAATTTATATAAATAGACCAGTCTTGAGGACACAGAACTAACATATGGCACGCAGATACCAAAAAACATTACTCTGCTGAATAAAGTCCTTTGTATCTAGAACTTATCAAAAATCATAATTCCTTTGTTTAAACCAAAAAGGGTTCTGATAAGAATTACTCAGTAGCATACAAATAATTTAGTAAGAAATTTACATAGAAATGGGCATAAATGTATCCACATACACAAGCCATATGAAAAACAGTATTAATCACCCATAACGATACTTTTTCTTTTTTTCAAATTATAACCATAAAAGCACTAAAATAACATGGCAGTTGATGGTAAATATCTCACCTTGTTTTAGATCAGCATTTCTCCTAACTTCTGAGAGATAGCAGTCTGGTACAGGATATGAAGAAAACATGGGCCAAGGATATGGATCATCACCCTAAAAAAGAAGACAAACGACTTTAGGAAATATTATAAAATACTGAATTTTAAGGCTTTCCGAAACACTAACATGGTTATTGTTTCATAGACACTAGAACTGTAGCCTAACTAACCAAAAGCTATGTGACAATTATAATTCAATACTCCAAAGGATAATAACTAAAATGAAATGTAATACGTGGTAACTTGTTCTAGCAACGAGGACTGATAATGACAGCCTATTTTTTTTCCATGAAAGAGAAATTAAAGTCTTCAAAAGAAACCTGTATTTCCTATATTGAAATAGGTAACAAATTCAAAAGACCAAACTGTTTATCTTGTATTGTCAATCATTTCTATCTCATCTTCCCCAGGCTAACAGAGCAAAAATGTACTTAATTAAAAAAAAAAAATCCCCTTCAAGAGAAAGCCAATGTCTATGAATATTAATGGAAGGAGAAGTACTCAATATGGCTAATTAAATACAAAAAATACATTCATCTAATAAAAATTAGGTATCATGAAAAACAAAGACATCAAAAGTAAACATCACAGACACAGAAAAATGACAACTTTTTAATGAAATAATAGTCTATCCTGCATCACAAAGAATACTACTCTCATTTCAAAGTGTTTACTCTGGGGCACCTGGGTGGCTCAGTGGTTTAAAGCCTCTGCCTTCGGCTCAGGTCATGATCCCAGGGTCCTGGGATCGAGCCCCACATCAGGCTCTCTGCTCCGCGGGGAGCCTGCTTTCTCCTCTCTCTCTCTGCCTGCCTCTCTGCCTACTTGTGATCTCTATCTGTCAAGTAAATAAATAAAATCTCTTCAAAGTGTTTACTCTGTATCCTACAGCTTCTCTACTAACAAAGATTCCTCTTTACCCTACTCACCTTCTCTAGTACCCTTGGAGGCAAAATTCGTTCCATGGGCCCACCAATAAAATTTATTCTAACAAGAACATGATTTCTCTCTACTGATAAGCCATCAATTATGAAATTCCTGAAAAATAAACATATCAATTTTATTATCTTAATTAAATATGATTTAATTCCAAAATCAAATCAGTGGAATGTAAAGAAAAAAATAAAATTTTCTATAGAAAAGTTTAGAAAATGATTAACAATGTATCACTTAGAAAGGGCTAAATTCTCCTTATCTTACAGCTTTCTTTGTCAGAAAGCAAAAAACTGATGGAAATATAACTACTAAAATGAGATAAATGATACTATAAAATAATATTTTCTTGTCAAATGTTACTGCATTTAAAGAAATGGAATTAAGACCTATATTATTTCCACAAAGACTTTTTCACTTTTTTAGGAAAGGTTTCCTTGGGTTCTAGACCCAGTGCCTTAAATTCAAAATCTAAATGTTGCTTTTGAGCACATTCCACACTTCCTGAAGCTGTTAATATCATCCTTCTGTATCAAATCTAGAGAATCCAGTAATGTTCCTGGGCTTCTGTATTCTTCTAAAATTGAGCTAGAATGGAAGAACAATTTTTTTTTAAATACAGACATGAAAACAGTACCAGATATTGAATGGGTATTCAATAAATGTCAGGCAAACTGAGGTAATGACAAGTAAAATAGAAAAAAAAAAATCAAGATATTACCATAACCTTGTTTTGCAATAATCAGAAATTATGAATGTGAACTAACATAATTAAGAGAATGGGGTAAAGAGTAAGGCTGTAATGGACAATAAATCAAACATTTTGTTTAATGAGTCAACTTACACTCCAGCCTGAATTTAAAGGTGATAGAACTTCATGGAACCATCAATAAAATCAGGTCTTAAAAAAAAATGCTAAATGAAACAAAAACTCAGAAAGCAGTACTGTTCAATCCTCCAAACAAACACCTATCATAATCTTTCGAATGGTGACATTTGTATTTTCATTGCTTTTTACTCAGTTTTTTAAATCTATTGAATTCAGATAGGGGAAAAACATGAAACTACATATACAATATCACTGCCTTAATAGAGGATCTGTAAAGAAAACTATTGTTAATAATATTGTCTTAACAGTTTTTTTGGTTTTCTTTTTGTTTTTACCTGTGACTTTCAGAGGTCTCTAAGATATTTTCTTCTTGAGCATTTAGTAATACTTCAGATACTTGATACTGAGCCTCTAGTAGAAGAAGAGTGTCTAGATCACAGCATAACACACTTAATAACCTATATAAAAAGGAACAATAAAAAACAGATTTTATAAAATATATTCTAAAAGCTTTCTTGGTGTCTCAAAATAATACCTACACATGAGAACACAAACTTTATGATGAAGATCACAATTACTTCAAATAGATTTGTAATCATTTTGATTATTAACATACTTCAAAAGTTTTTCCTCATCGGCATATTATTTAAAGACTGTGGGTAACTTCTAGTCCAGTTTTTCTTAAAAAATTATCTAAATCCAGGAATAGCAAGTTCTCAACAGCTAATTTAAAACTTAGGGAACATTTAGCAAATCCATAAAACCTGCAAATTGTCATCATTTTTTATCAGCAATTAATTACATAAGGAATAACAGAATCATTTGCTACCAAACCACGAAATGTTCACTAGGTGAAACGTCAATGGCTAACTTTATAATTGTCAGATAAAGCTGAGAACACCAAAACACACTGATTTCTCCCTAAACATGCATGATTTCTACCTATCTCTCAACTGTGGTTAGAGAGACAGGTGGAAATCATGTGGCTCCTATTGTGATGAAAGAGGACATATACTGAACAATCTGTGAAATATTCTTGCCAAAAAAACTGAACCTGAAATTAACCAATTACTACACATTACACTATCAGTTTACAAGAAATACAAAAATCACAGAAATATTTTAAAAGATGATCTCAAGGAGGAAACAGTCAACCAAATCCAGAATTTGAAAAATCACATCTCATATAACATTTCTTTAGGGGGAAAAATTGTGAAAAACAGGTAAGGTAACTTATAAGTTAAAAGCAAAATATATTTTTTAAAGATTTTATTTATTTGACAGAGAGAGAGAGAGAGAGAGAGAGAGAGAGAGAGACACCACAAGTAGCCAGGCAGAGAGAGTGGGGGAAGCAGGCTCCGGGCTGAGCAGAGAGCCCAATGCAGGTCTTGATCCCAGGACCCTGAGATCACAACCTGAGCCGAAGGCAGAGGCTTCAACCACTGAGCCACCCAGGCACCCCTAATAGCAAAATATTAAGCAAATGTGAAGATTTGGTTTTGACTGTGATTCAAGCAAAAACTGTAAAGTGCATTTTTGAATCGCACAGGAAAATATGGGATAGGTACTAGAGGAGATCAGGAATATGGTGTTAAGTTAGCTATAACAATGACAAAATGGTAAGTTCTTTGTTTTTTTAGAAACAAGTCTTATATGTTAGAGATACACACTGAATTTTCTTTTTTAAAATTTTTATTATATTATGTTAGTCACCATACAGTACAAAATTAGTTTTTGCTGTATTGTTCCATGATTCATTGTTTGCATATACCACCCAATGCGCCACACAATACGTGCCCTCCTTAATATCCATCAAAGGGCTAACCCATCGTGCCACCACCCTCCCCTCTAAAATCCTCAGTTTGTTTCCTGAAGTACATAGTTCATGGGTCTTCTCTCTGATCCCCCTCCCTTCAATTTTCCCTTCCTTCTCCTAAAGTCCTCCATGCTATTCCTTACCATATGATAATCGTCTTTCTCTCAGCATATTTGACTTATTTTTGACTTATTTCACTCAGCATAATCTACTCTAGTTCCATCCATGTTGATGCAAATGTTGGGTATCCATCCTTCCTGATGGCTGAGTAATATTCCATTGTATATATGTATCACATATTCTTTATGCATTCATCCGTTGAAGGGTATCTTGGCTCCTTCCACAGTTTGGCTATTGTGGACATTGCTGCTATGAACATTGGGGTGCATGTGCCCCTTCTTTGTACTATGTCTGATTCTTTGGGGTAAATATCCAGTAGTGCAATTGCTGGGTCATAGGGTAGCTCTATTTTTAATTTTTTGAGGAACCTTCACACTGTTTTCCAAAGGGGTTGTACCAACTTGCATTTGAACCTACAGTGTAAGAGAGTTCCCCTTTCTCCAGAACCTCTCCAACATTTGTTGTTTCTTGCCTTGTCAATTTTTGCCATTCTTACTGGTGCAAGGTGGTATCTCAATGTGGTTTTGATTTGCATTTCCCTGATGGCTAGTGATGATGAACATCTTTGCATGTGTCTGTTAGCCATTTACAAGTCTTCTCTGGAGAAGTGTCTGTTCATGTCTTCTGTCCATTTTTTGACCAGGTTATTTGGGTTTTTTCAGGTGTGGAATTTGAGAAGTTCCTTATAGATACTGGATACCAGCCCTCTTCTGTAGTGTCATTTGCAAATATCTTCTCCCATTCCATGGGTTGCCTCTTTAGTTTTGTTGACTGTTTCCTTTGCTGTGCAGAAGCTTTTTATCTTGAGGAAGTCCAAAAAGTTCATTTTCATTTTTGTTTCACTTGTCTTTGGAGATGTGTCTTCAAAGAAATTGCTGTGCCAATGTCGAAGAGTTTATTGCCTATGTTCTCCTCTGGGATTCTGATGGATGCCTGTCTCACACCAAGGTCTTTCATCCATTTTGAGTTTTATCTTTGTGTATGGTTTAAGAGAATGATTGCATGTCATTCTTCTGTATATAGCCGACCAATGTTCCCACCACCATTTATGGGACAGACTGTCTTTCTTCTTTGGATATTTTTCCCTGTTTTGTCAAAGAGTTGAGAGTCCATATCTGGTCTCTCTGTTCCATTAGTCCATGTGTCTGTTTTTCTGCCAGTACCATGCTGTCTTGGTGATCACAGCTTTGTAGTATAGCTTCAAATCAGGCAACAGGATGCCCCAGCTTTGTTTTTCTTTTTCAATATTCCTTGGCAATTCAGGGTCTTTTCTAGTTCCATACAAATTTTAGGATTGTTTGTTCCTACACCTTGAAAAATGCCTTTGGTATTTTGATGGGAATGGTGTTGAAAGTATAAACTGCTTTGGGCAGCACAGACATTTTAACAATATTTATTTTTCTGATCCATGAACATTGAAAGTTTTCCCATCTTTTTGTGTCTTCTTTGATTCCTTTCAGGAGTGTTCTGTAGTTATTAAGGTATAGCTCCATTAGCTCTTTGGATAGATTTATTCCCAGGTATCTTATGGTTTTTGGAGCTACTATAAATGGAATCGATTCTTTAATTTCTCTTTCTACAGTTACATTGTTATTGTATAAGAAAGCAACTGATTTCTGTGCATTGATTTTGTATCCTGCCACATTATTGTTGCAGGAGTTCTAGTGAATTGGGGGTGAAGTCTTTTGGATTTTCCACATAAGGTATCATGTCATCTTCAAAGAGAGAGAGTTTGAGTTCTTCTTTGCCAATTTGAATACTTTTAATTTCTTATTGTTGTCTGATTGCTATTGCTAGGACTTCTAGAATTATGTTGAACAGTAATGGCTAGAGTGGGCATTCTTGCTGTGTTCCTGATCTTGAGGGAAAGGCTGTCAGCTTTTACCCATTGAGAATGATACTCACTGAGGGTTGTTCATAGATGGATTTTATGAAATTGAAGAATGTTCCCTCTATCCCTATACTCTGAAGAGTTTTAATCAGGAAAGGATGCTGTATTTCATCAAAGGCTTTTTCTGCATCAATTGAGAGGACCATGTAGTATTCTTTTATTGATTTGTCCTATCACATTGATTGATTTGCAATGTTGAACCGCCCTTGCATCCCAAGGATCAATCCCACCTGGTCATGGTGGATAATCCTATTAATGTACTGTTATTAGATCCTATTAGCTAGGATCTTGTTGAGAATCTTGGCATACATATTCATCAGGGATATTGATCTGAAATTCTCCCTTTTGATGGGGTCTTTGCCTGGTTTGGGGATCAAGGTAATGCTGGCCTCACAGAAAGAGTATGGAAGTTTTCCTTCTGTTTCTATTTTTTTTTCTATTTTTCTATT